GAAGTATCAACCGCAGGCGACATCACACGCGAAGAATCACAGGGCCCTCCAAGACCCGTCACTACCGGCAACTCGAGTCTTTGTACCCGTACCACCGCCTCCTTTGTATGCGCCGCCTCCCGATGCGCTCCCTCTTCCCTCCAGGTGTACACTCCCAGCACAGTTTTCTCCTCAGTTTCCTCCTGCAGGATCTCCCGCAGCTCTGCGCCAACATATCCAGCGCTTTGGGTTTCGTCAGGGCTCAGACTGCTCATTCAACGCCCTCCCCTACCCGGCACCAGCACCACCTGTGACCAGGGAAGAATTCTATGAGCGCCACCACAACTAAGGGGAGGGGTCTACATCGCCCTCCTAGTGGTTCATCGTATTCCAAGAAGTTCATACCACTTGCTTGAAATCAAGATCTGGCTTGACAAGGTCAGGCTCTTGCTCTCGATCCTTCAAGCCGCTCACACTCTTGGGGCCTTTCACCATCGCCCCCAAACCCCAGGAGAGGCAGAGGGCAGAGCCGCAATTTGCGTTCACGGTCCAGATCTCATGGACATGGTGATCACCGATTGAGGTCACAGGTCGCCTCCACAGGACATAGACGTTATCCGTTCAAGTCTCCTCAAGCCTTGGGGGTGGGTCCCCAGGAAGCCGAATGGACACCAAGGAGACTTAGACCGTCAGTATTTTATTAGAGTCAGAGAAGTTCCGCCCCCTTATGGCAAGAAAGTCTGTTCCTGACCGAGTGTCGAAAGGAGAACCAGTTTGAGAGGGAAGAACGCTACCAACTAGAACCGGGAGGAGAATACCAAAGTGGTAATTTCCGGAAGTACCACAAAGGATAGGCTGGGGGCACAGCGAGGCCCCTGTTGCTGACAGAGGGGGCTTCTCTCCAGAAAGGCTTAAACCTCCTACTGTTTGAACTCACACCCTTTCCCTGGGGGCGCGAGGCGATTTATCAGTGCTGACAAAGTCACGAACTAAAAATCTAGGTGGCAGCTGTCCAGCTGTCATCGAGGGAGAATCCCCAATCAGGAAGATAATGCAGAAGCCAGGGGTGGGAGAGACGTGGCCGGCGACGTTAAAGGAAAGCTCAAGCCAGAAATATAGAAGTAAAAGAAAGGGGGAGAGAGTGAGAGCGTCCTGGCCCACGAGCTGTTAGAGCCTTCCCCAGGGATTGCCTCAAAGTGATGACACTAAGACAGAAACACTCGTTTTCTCCCAAGGAGAGAGGATGCTACCCTGTTAGGGATGAACCCATGGGAGCAGAATCTGTCACTTACGAATTGCAGCATCTGAAAGAGACAAGAGAGAAAACGCAAGCCAAACCGAAAGAGTGATGAGACCAAACGGAAAAGCGATGGCTCTGCTCAAGCCAAGAAAGAAAAAGTTTTAAGACCTTCTAAAGGACCCCAAGACAAAGAAGACGGGGAGGCCTGGAAAAGCTCCTTGGTCCCAACCTCCACTTAAAAACGCCAAAGAAGACGGTGCAAAGACCGAGCTCTGCAAAAGCGTCACCATCATTTCAGAAGGATGACGATGTCACCGGAACTCCCAGAAGAGCCCACTCTAAATCTGTAAAGGGACACCTCGAGACAGAGCCAGTCAAGAAGGAGAAGGTGACAGGGACTCTACTAGAAGACATCCAGCCAGAAAAGCCGGCTGGTGAGGATGAAAAGGCCAAGAAGCCTGAGAAAAGCACACTACTTGTTCACAAGGGGAGGAAAAAGAAAGAGGAAGGCGGAGGAAAAGAATAGAGATGAAGATTTTGACGAGCGAAATAAAAGAGAAAGAGGTAGACACACCATCAAAGAGGGAGCCATCGTAGGTTTGGTTTTGAAGAGAATACTGATTCGAGAGAAACGTCCAGAGACCCACAAGGATGAACCCCCCACCCCCCGACTAACAACCCCAGCAAAAGGCAGAAATGGCTCCCAAATGCCCCTTCCCCTGACAATGAGATTGACAACCAACGTTTATCTACCATCACAGAGCCCTCACCTAGTAGCTGATGGAAACAGATGCAGACACCCACAGCTAAGCACTGAGCGGAACTGGAAACCAGATGCAAAGAGTGGGGGGAGTGATAAGGAAACCCAGGCTACAGAAACCAAGAGAGACCGCTGACCTGAACCAGGGGGAGCTAATGGACCCCCACACTGGTCGCTGGGAACCCAGCATTGGACCGACTCTGAACCCCTGAACATGGGCCTCAGTGAGAAGGCCTGGGCAGTCTAAGGGACATCTGACAGTGCCACCAGGATGTATGCCCTGGTGCACAAAAGGACTGTGGCCTACAGCTAGGATATATCTGAATCTTCTTCGAATCCCCCAAGACAGCGCCCCTTACCAGCAAGGAAGTAGTTGGGAAAGAACGTACGCCCAAATTCCCAAATATTGTGTATAAATGTTTGTTTTCATTTAATTGGACTTTGTTATATAAAATTAAATAAAAAGACTCTATATGCATAAAAAAAAAAACAAAACAAAAGGACTGTGGCAGCACGTTACCCATGTGAGGGGGCGGGGAGGGACAGGGGATACTCCCTTAACCTAGAGGCAGGATGGAGGGCCTAGTCCCTACTCCAGATGACCTGACAGATGTAGAGGGCCCCTCCTGGAAGGCATCACACTACATGTGGAGTGGGGGTTGGAATGGGATGAAAGGGTGGTTTGGGGGCACGGGAAGGTGGGAGAGGGGGGGAGGGAGGAGGAGACTGGGCCAATATGTAAAATAAGAAAACTAAATAAATATATGAATAAAATTTCCTTGTCCAGAATATTCTCCCAAAGTTCTTTCCCTTTTCCAAATAGCAATGGTAAGATTATTTAATTCTATCAAACACTTTATAGACACTTACTCTGCATTTTCCAAATAAATGTTTGAACATGGAACTGTAACCAGTGAAATGTACAATTCCAAAGATGACAATAAAAACTTGTACTCAATATACAATCCACAAAGAAAATGAAAACCAAATCATTTGAATGTAAAAAGTTTACACCGGCTCGGCAGCAGTGGCACACACACACACCTTTCTTTCCAGCACTTGGGAGGCAGAGGTACACAGATCAGAGTGAGTTTGAGAACAGCCTGGTCTACAGAGTGAGTTCCAGGGAAACGAGGACTACACAGATAAATCCTGTCTTGAAAGACCAACGAGAGAGAGGGAGTGGGGGATAGAGAGGTAGAGACATGGAGATGGACAGAGCGATACACACACACACACACAGACAGACAGAAAGAGAAAACAGAGATAGACAGAGAGAGAAAGAGAGAGAGACAGAGAGAGAGAGAGAGAGCAAGGGACCCTGTAACTTTGCACTTTGTTTGGTGTAGGGTCCATATGGTACTTAGTTGATGGTGTCCTGCGGGAGGTAACTATGATTAGGTGAGGGGATAAAAACTGGGTCTCTAAGATGGCAGGGTCTTTACAAGAAGAGAACCAAGGACTTAAACCTGCATATGTGCCTGGTCCTAGCCTACAACAAATTATGTCTTCTTCTGAGTGACAAAGAAGAATAAAAGTTTGCAAAAAAGACTGAAAACTGAGTAGGCAGAGTGAGCATCAAGATAGGGTGCCTTTGTCTTTGTGTTTGAAAGTGTTTAAGTGGAAACTTTAGAGTATATTGATAGTGTAAATAATTGATGATACTGATAATATCTCATGTATGGTTACTGCTAAGGAATCTGCTCTTCCACTCTATACACATCAAGGGTACCAAGCTGGGCTTTGACTGGGAACCTTTCACCCTAAATCAAGAGTAGTGTTCTGTAGCTATTGGCTACCTTCACAGTAAGAAATACAAATTTTACTTTACTGATTTAGTTAATGTCTTTGTGTGACCAATAAGGTAATTGTAAACCTCGGTAAGTAAATATAATCTATTTTTTTACTTGTTAAGCAATCCTGGGTTCACTTGCTGAATGAGAGTAATTTAACAGTTAAAAGTCAAAAAAAAAAAAAAAAAAAAAACCAGGTGTACCAGGTGTATGTGATCAAGGTAAGCCTGTTGTAGGGAGTTACTGCTAGGACAGTTAAGGCTGCACAAAGAAAACCTGTCTGATGGAACCAGGATGATGTATCCCAGGTGCGCCAAATGAATTTGGTATCACATTCTCCATGGAGCAATACTACCTTAGCTTAGAGGCCGGGAAGTGGGCCTAGTCCCTACTTAGAATGGTTTGACAGATTTGGTTGAACACTCCTGGAAGTCATCGCCCACTCTGTGGAGTTGATGGAGGGGTGGATAGAATGGGTAAAGGGAGGGAGGGAGAGGGGTGTGGGATCGATATGTAAAAATAAGAAAAAATACAGCAAAACCCAATAAAAAAATAAAACAGCCTCAAAAGAAGGAAGCAAAGACAGAAACACCGACCAACAGACACACAGAGAGTTAGAGGGAGTGAGAGAAAGACAAAAAGTAAGAAACAAAGAAAGAAAGGAAGGAAGGAAGAAAGGAAGGAAGGAAGGAAGGAAGGAAGGAAGGAAGAAGGGAAGGAAGGAAGGAAGAAAAAGGGAAAACGAAAAGCCCAAAAATAAAGTAAAATAAAAAAAGCTGAGGGTAAGAGAGGATGACCTATTCTTGGTTGTCAATTTAATTCAAAATGGCGGAATTGGAGCTTCTCATCCGGGTCTTGAGGTGGGAGGTGACACCCTTAATCTGCATAATGCCTTCTGCTGGGAGCATATATAAGAAGGTGCAAGAAGGAAGCTGTTGCTTTCTGTCTGCTTGCTCTGGCCTTGCTAGCAAGTGCACGCCTTCACCCGCATTAGAACCTTGTAGTTCCTTGCGGCTCCAGCGGCTCCTGAAGATCAAGCGAAACACTGGGCCTCGTGGACCGAACAACTTCTGGATTCTTGGACTTTCCGGCCTGGTCTTTGTAGACAAGAGTTACCTCGGAGCCCCGGGGCCACCTTCAGGCCCACACTTCAGGCCGAGACCCTGGGCCCCAGACTGCAATCGTCAGCCGTCAGCAGGGTGCCTAGCACAAGGAATCCTTTGCCACCATGTCCTGTGTGCACTATAAATTTTCCTCTAAACTCCACTACGACATCGTCACCTTTGATGGGCTCCATATCTCCCTCTGCGACTTAAAGAAGAAGATTATGAGCAGAGAAAAGCTGAAAGCTACCCATAGCGATCTGCAGATCAGCAACGCACAGACGAAAGAAGACTATCCTGAGGATACTGCGCTCATTCCTAAAAATTCATCTGTAATTGTCAGAAGAATTCCTGCGGCAGGTGTGAAGTCCACAAGCAGGACCTATGTTAAAAGTCGAAGTGAACGAGGGATGGGAACTACAAAAGCAATCGATGGCTCTCCTGCGTCTATTTCTCTGGCCCAGCTTACAAGGACCGCCAATCTGGCTGAAGCCAATGCTGCCGAGGAAGATAAAATCCAAGCAATGATGGCGCAATCTGGCCATCGATACGACCCAGTCAACTACACGAAGAAAGCTGTAGGTCCACCACCTCCATCTTATACCTGCTTTCGTTGCGGCAAGCCTGGCCATTATATTAAGGATTGCCCAACAAACGGGGATAAGGACTTTGAACCTGGCCGTAGGATCAAAAGGAGCAGTGGAATTCCCACAAGTTTTATGATGGAAGTGAAGGATCCCAGCATAAAAGGCGCGATGCTTACGAACACTGGAAAATACGCAATACCAAAGATAGATGCAGAGGCCTATGCAATTGGGAAGAAAGAGAAGCCACCCTTCTTGCCAGAGGAGCGGTCATCGTCATCATCTTCAGACGATGATCCTATCCCAGAGGAGCTTCTGTGCCTCATCTGCAAGGACCTTATGACTGACGCTGCTCTCATCCCCTGCTGTGGAAACAGTTACTGTGATGAGTGTATCCGGACGGCACTCCTGGAGTCGGATGACCATACATGTCCAACGTGTCAGCAAAACGAAGTTTCTCCTGATGCCTTGACGGCCAACAAGTTTTTACGGCAGGCTATTGAGAACTTCAAAAACGGGACTGGCTATCCAATAAGACTGCGACAACAGGTACGGCCACCCCCACGCCCATTACCACCACCAAGACCACGCGCCCAGCGGACCCCGCAGCCTCTGATGAGGTCTCCAATATCAAGACAGCAGGATCCTTCCATGACTCCAGGGGCGTCTTCCTCCTCTCGTCGTCCAACTCCCTCCGTAGCGTCGTCGTTCCCTTCAAATCCATCTTGCTTGGCTCCTCCTGTGCCTGGAAATCCGTCTCCTGCCCCAGCTCCAGGACCCGATAGAACTGCAGCAGCGACTGTCTCGGTCCATTCGGAAAAGTCAGAGGGCCCTGTCCGGGATTCTGATACTAAATTATCGCCAGCTGCCGCCCTCGCATGGGAACACTCGGAGGGAGCCTGCTCAATGGCAAGCGCTGCACTCGTGGGAGGGTGGAAGGGTCACCGAGTGCCTGCCCTTGGAGCTCCATCATTGCTGGGACAGTCACCATCAGGTGGACAGCTGATCCCCACAACCGGTCCAGTAGGAATAAATACTGCTCGTCCAGGTGGTGGTCCACCAGGTTGGGGACGTTCCAACAAACTCGGCTACCCGGTTTCTCCGCCACAGCCCATTAGAAGAGGGGAAAGAAATTGTTACAGAAGTATCAACCGCGGGCGACGCCACAGCGAAAGATCACAGGGCCCTCAAGACCCGTCACTACCGGCAACTCCAGTCTTTGTACCCGTACCACCGCCTCCTTTGTATGCGCCGCCTCCCGATGCGCTCCCCTCTTCCTCCGGGTGTACCTCCCGCACAGTTTTCTCCTCAGTTTCCTCCTGCAGGATCTCCCGCAGCTCTCGCCAACATATCAACGCTTTGGGTTTCGTCAGGGGCTCAGACTGCTCATTCAAACGCCCTCCCTACCGCGCAAGCACCACCTGTGACCAGGGAAGAATTCTATAGAGCGCCACCACAACTAAAGGGAGGGTCTACATCGCCCTCTAGTGGTTCATCGTATTCAAGAAGTTCATACCCTTGCTTGAAATCAAGATCTGGCTTGACAAGGTCAGGCTCTTGCTCTCGATCCTTCAGCCGCTCACACTCTCGCTCCCTTTCACCATCACCCCCATACCCGAGGAGAGGCAGAGGCAAGAGCCGCAATTTTCGTTCACGGTCCAGATCTCGCGGACGTGGTGATCACCGATCGAGGTCAAGGTCGCCTCCACATAGACATAGACGTTATCGTGCAAGATCTCCTCAAGCCTTTGGGGGTCAGTCTCCCAGGAAGCCGAATGGACATCAAGGAGAAACAGAACGTCAGTATTTTAATAGATGCAGAGAAGTTCCACCCCCTTATGGCAATAAAGCCTGTTCCGGACCGAGTGTCGAAAGGAGAGACCCATTTGAGAAAGAACGCTACCACCGAGAACCGGAGAGGGAATACCGAGAGTGGTACCGGAAGTACTACAAAGGATATGCTGTGGGGGCACAGCCGAGGCCCGCTGCTGACAGAGGGGGCTTCTCTCCAGAAAGGCTTAAACCTCCTACTGTCAGAAATCCACCCTTCCCTGGGGGGCGCAGAGACGACTGTCGTGCTGGACGAAGTCACAGAACTAGAAATCTAGGTGGCAGCTATCCAGAAAAGCTGTCATCGAGAGAGAATCACAATCGGAAAGATAATGCAGAAGCACAGGAGTGGGAGAACGTTGCCGGCGACGATAAAGGAAACAAGCCCGAGAAACACAGAAAAGGAAGAAAGGGGGAGGAGAGTGAGAGCGTCCTGGCCCACGAGCTGTTAGAGCCTTCCGGGACATCCAGAGAGTCATCTCGTGCTGATGACACTAAGACAGAAACACTCGTTTTCCTCCCAAGGAGAGAGGATGCTACCCCTGTTAGGGATGAACCCATGGGAGCAGAATCTGTCACTTGCGAATCAGTATCTGAAAGAGACAAGAGAGAAAACGGTAAGCCAAACCGAAAGAGTGATGAGACCAAACGGAAAAGCGATGGCTCTGCTCAAGCCAAGAAAGAAAAAGTTTTAAGACCTTCTAAAGGACCCCAAGACAAAGAAGACGGGGAGCCTGGAAAAGCTCCTTGGTCCGAACCTCCACTTAAAAACGCCAAAGAAGACGGTGCAAAGACCGGCTCTGCAAAAGCGTCACCATCATTTCAGAAGGATGACGATGTCACCGGAACTCCCAGAAGAGCCCACTCTAAATCTGTAAAGGGACACCTCGAGACAGAGCCAGTCAAGAAGGAGAAGGTGACAAGGGACTCTACCAAAGACATCCAGCCAGAAAAGCCGGCTGGTGAGGATGAAAAGGCCAAGAAGCCTGAGAAAAGCACACTACTTGTTCACAAGGGAGGAAAAAGAAAGAGGAAGGCGGAGGAAAAGAATAGAGATGAAGATTTTGACGAGCGAAATAAAAAAGAGAAAGAGGTAGACACACCATCAAAGAGGGAGCCATCGTAGGTTTGGTTTGAAGAGAATACTGATTCGAGAGAAACGTCCAGAGACCTACAAGGATGAACCCCCCCACCCCCCGACTAACAACCCCAGCAAAAGGCAGAAAGGCTCCTTAAATGCCCTTCCCTGACAATGAGATTGACAACTAACGTTTATCTACCATCACAGAGCCCTCACCTAGTAGCTGATGGAAACAGATGCAGACACCCACAGCTAAGCACTGAGCGGAACTGGAAACCAGATGCAAAGAGTGGGGGAGTGATAAGGAAACCCAGGCTACAGAAACCCAGAGAGACCGCTGACCTGAACCAGGGGGAGCTAATGGACCCCCACACTGGTCGCTGGGAACCCAGCATTGGACCGACTCTGAACCCCTGAACATGGGCCTCAGTGAGAAGGCCTGGGCAGTCTAAGGGACATCTGACAGTGCCACCAGGATGTATGCCCTGGTGCACAAAAGGACTGTGGCCTACAGCTAGGATATCTGAATCTTCTTCGAATCCCCCAAGACAGCGCCCCTTACCAGCAGGAAGTAGTTGGGAAAGAACGACGCCCAAATTCCCAAATATTGTGTATAAATGTTTGTTTTCATTTAATTGGACTTTGTTATATAAAATTAAATAAAAAAGACTCTATATGCATAAAAAAAAAACAAAACAAAAGGACTGTGGCAGCACGTTACCCATGTGAGGGGGCGGGGAGGGACAGGGGATACTCCCTTAACCTAGAGGCAGGATGGGAGGGCCTAGTCCCTACTCCAGATGACCTGACAGATGTAGAGGGCCCCTCCTGGAAGGCATCACACTACATGTGGAGTGGGGGTTGGAATGGGATGAAAGGGTGGTTTGGGGGGCACGGGAAGGTGGGAGAGGGGGAGGGAGAGGAGACTGGGCTCAATATGTAAAATAAGAAAACTAAATAAATATATGAATAAAATTTCCTTGTCCAGAATATTCTCCCCAAAGTTCTTTCCTTTTCCAAATAGCAATGGTAAGATTATTTAATTCTATCAAACACTTTATAGACACTTACTCTGTATTTTCCAAATAAATGTTTAACATGGAACTGTAACCAGTGAAATGTACAATTCCAAGATGACAATAAAAACTTGTACTCAATATACAATCCACAAAGAAAAATGAAAACCAAATTATTTGAATGTAAAAAGTTTACACCGGCTCGGCAGCAGTGGCACACACACACACCTTTCTTTCCAGCACTTGGGAGGCAGAGGTACACAGATCAGAGTGAGTTTGAGAACAGCCTGGTCTACAGAGTGAGTTCCAGGAAAACGAGGACTACACAGATAAATCCTGTCTTGAAAGACCAACGAGAGAGAGGGAGTGGGGGATAGAGAGGTAGAGACATGGAGATGGACAGAGCGATACACACACACACACACACACACACACAGACAGAAAGAGAAAACAGAGATAGACAGAGAGAGAAAGAGAGAGAGAGAGAGAGAGAGAGAGAGAGAGAGCGCAAGGGACCCTGTAACTTTGCACTTTGTTTGGTGTGTAGGGTCCATATGGTACTTAGTTGATGGTGTCCTGCGGGAGGTAACTATGATTAGGTGAGGTGATAAAAACTGGGTCTCTAAGATGGCAGGGTCTTTACAAGAAGAGAACCAAGGACTTAAACCTGCATATGTGCCTGGTCCTAGCCTACAACAAATTATGTCTTCTTCTGAGTGACAAAGAAGAATAAAAGTTTGCAAAAAAGACTGAAAACTGAGTAGGCAGAGTGAGCATCAAGATAGGGTGCCTTTGTCTTTGTGTTTGAAAGTGTTTAAGTGGAAACTTTAGAGTATATTGATAGTGTAAATAATTGATGATACTGATAATATCTCATGTATGGTTACTGCTAAGGAATCTGCTCTTCCACTCTATACACATCAAGGGTACCAAGCTGGGCTTTGACTGGGAACCTTTCACCCTAAATCAAGAGTAGTGTTCTGTAGCTATTGGCTACCTTCACAGTAAGAAATACAAATTTTACTTTACTGATTTAGTTAATGTCTTTGTGTGACCAATAAGGTAATTGTAAACCTCGGTAAGTAAATATAATCTATTTTTTTACTTGTTAAGCAATCCTGGGTTCACTTGCTGAATGAGAGTAATTTAACAGTTAAAAGTCAAAAAAAAAAAAAAAAAAAAAAAACCAGGTGTACCAGGTGTATGTGATCAAGGTCAGCCTGTTGTAAAAAGTTACTTCTAGGACAGTTAAGGCTGCACAAAAAAAAAAAAAAAACTGCCTGATGGAACCAGGATGATGTATCCCAGGTGCGCCAAATGACTTTGGTATCACATTCTCCATGGAGCAATACTACCTTAGCTTAGAGGCCGGGAAGTGGGCCTAGTCCCTACTTAGAATGGTTTGACAGATTTGGTTGAACACTCCTGGAAGTCATCGCCCACTCTGTGGAGTTGATGGAGGGGTGGATAGAATGGGTAAAGGGAGGGAGGGAGAGGGGTGTGGGATCGATATGTAAAAATAAGAAAAAAATACAGCAAAACCCAATAAAAAAATAAAAAATAAAACAGCCTCAAAAGAAGGAAGCAAAGACAGAAACACCGACCAACAGACACACAGAGAGTTAGAGGGAGTGAGAGAAAGACAAAAAGTAAGAAACAAAGAAAGAAAGGAAGGAAGAAAGAAAGAAAGGAAGGAAGGAAGGAAGGAAGAAGGGAAGGAAGGAAGGAAGGAAGAAAAAGGGAAAACGAAAAGCCCAAAAATAAAGTAAAATAAAAAAGCTGAGGGTAAGAGAGGATGACCTATTCTTGGTTGTCAATTTAATTCAAAATGGCGGAATTGGAGCTTCTCATCCGGGTCTTGAGGTGGGAGGTGACACCCTTAATCTGCATAATGCCTTCTGCTGGGAGCATATATAAGAAGGTGCAAGAAGGAAGCTGTTGCTTTCTGTCTGCTTGCTCTGGCCTTGCTAGCAAGTGCACGCCTTCACCCGCATTAGAACCTTGTAGTTCCTTGCGGCTCCAGCGGCTCCTGAAGATCAAGCGAAACACTGGGCCTCGTGGACCGAACAACTTCTGGATTCTTGGACTTTCCGGCCTGGTCTTTGTAGACAAGAGTTACCTCGGAGCCCCGGGGCCACCTTCAGGCCCACACTTCAGGCCGAGACCCCTGGGCCCCAGAGCTGCTGCAATCGTCAGCCGTCAGCAGGGTGCCTAGCACAAGGAATCCTTTGCCACCATGTCCTGTGTGCACTATAAATTTTCCTCTAAACTCCACTACGACATCGTCACCTTTGATGGGCTCCATATCTCCCTCTGCGACTTAAAGAAGAAGATTATGAGCAGAGAAAAGCTGAAAGCTACCCATAGCGATCTGCAGATCAGCAACGCACAGACGAAAGAAGACTATCCTGAGGATACTGCGCTCATTCCTAAAAATTCATCTGTAATTGTCAGAAGAATTCCTGCGGCAGGTGTGAAGTCCACAAGCAGGACCTATGTTAAAAGTCGAAGTGAACGAGGGATGGGAACTACAAAAGCAATCGATGGCTCTCCTGCGTCTATTTCTCTGGCCCAGCTTACAAGGACCGCCAATCTGGCTGAAGCCAATGCTGCCGAGGAAGATAAAATCCAAGCAATGATGGCGCAATCTGGCCATCGATACGACCCAGTCAACTACACGAAGAAAGCTGTAGGTCCACCACCTCCATCTTATACCTGCTTTCGTTGCGGCAAGCCTGGCCATTATATTAAGGATTGCCCAACAAACGGGGATAAGGACTTTGAACCTGGCCGTAGGATCAAAAGGAGCAGTGGAATTCCCACAAGTTTTATGATGGAAGTGAAGGATCCCAGCATAAAAGGCGCGATGCTTACGAACACTGGAAAATACGCAATACCAAAGATAGATGCAGAGGCCTATGCAATTGGGAAGAAAGAGAAGCCACCCTTCTTGCCAGAGGAGCGGTCATCGTCATCATCTTCAGACGATGATCCTATCCCAGAGGAGCTTCTGTGCCTCATCTGCAAGGACCTTATGACTGACGCTGCTCTCATCCCCTGCTGTGGAAACAGTTACTGTGATGAGTGTATCCGGACGGCACTCCTGGAGTCGGATGACCATACATGTCCAACGTGTCAGCAAAACGAAGTTTCTCCTGATGCCTTGACGGCCAACAAGTTTTTACGGCAGGCTATTGAGAACTTCAAAAACGGGACTGGCTATCCAATAAGACTGCGACAACAGGTACGGCCACCCCCACGCCCATTACCACCACCAAGACCACGCGCCCAGCGGACCCCGCAGCCTCTGATGAGGTCTCCAATATCAAGACAGCAGGATCCTTCCATGACTCCAGGGGCGTCTTCCTCCTCTCGTCGTCCAACTCCCTCCGTAGCGTCGTCGTTCCCTTCAAATCCATCTTGCTTGGCTCCTCCTGTGCCTGGAAATCCGTCTCCTGCCCCAGCTCCAGGACCCGATAGAACTGCAGCAGCGACTGTCTCGGTCCATTCGGAAAAGTCAGAGGGCCCTGTCCGGGATTCTGATACTAAATTATCGCCAGCTGCCGCCCTCGCATGGGAACACTCGGAGGGAGCCTGCTCAATGGCAAGCGCTGCACTCGTGGGAGGGTGGAAGGGTCACCGAGTGCCTGCCCTTGGAGCTCCATCATTGCTGGGACAGTCACCATCAGGTGGACAGCTGATCCCCACAACCGGTCCAGTAGGAATAAATACTGCTCGTCCAGGTGGTGGTCCACCAGGTTGGGGACGTTCCAACAAACTCGGCTACCCGGTTTCTCCGCCACAGCCCATTAGAAGAGGGGAAAGAAATTGTTACAGAAGTATCAACCGCGGGCGACGCCACAGCGAAAGATCACAGGGCCCTCAAGACCCGTCACTACCGGCAACTCCAGTCTTTGTACCCGTACCACCGCCTCCTTTGTATGCGCCGCCTCCCGATGCGCTCCCTCTTCCTCCGGGTGTACCTCCCGCACAGTTTTCTCCTCAGTTTCCTCCTGCAGGATCTCCCGCAGCTCTCGCCAACATATCAACGCTTTGGGTTTCGTCAGGGGCTCAGACTGCTCATTCAAACGCCCTCCCTACCGCGCAAGCACCACCTGTGACCAGGGAAGAATTCTATAGAGCGCCACCACAACTAAAGGGAGGGTCTACATCGCCCTCTAGTGGTTCATCGTATTCAAGAAGTTCATACCCTTGCTTGAAATCAAGATCTGGCTTGACAAGGTCAGGCTCTTGCTCTCGATCCTTCAGCCGCTCACACTCTCGCTCCCTTTCACCATCACCCCCATACCCGAGGAGAGGCAGAGGCAAGAGCCGCAATTTTCGTTCACGGTCCAGATCTCGCGGACGTGGTGATCACCGATCGAGGTCAAGGTCGCCTCCACATAGACATAGACGTTATCGTGCAAGATCTCCTCAAGCCTTTGGGGGTCAGTCTCCCAGGAAGCCGAATGGACATCAAGGAGAAACAGAACGTCAGTATTTTAATAGATGCAGAGAAGTTCCACCCCCTTATGGCAATAAAGCCTGTTCCGGACCGAGTGTCGAAAGGAGAGACCCATTTGAGAAAGAACGCTACCACCGAGAACCGGAGAGGGAATACCGAGAGTGGTACCGGAAGTACTACAAAGGATATGCTGTGGGGGCACAGCCGAGGCCCGCTGCTGACAGAGGGGGCTTCTCTCCAGAAAGGCTTAAACCTCCTACTGTCAGAAATCCACCCTTCCCTGGGGGCGCAGAGACGACTGTCGTGCTGGACGAAGTCACAGAACTAGAAATCTAGGTGGCAGCTATCCAGAAAAGCTGTCATCGAGAGAGAATCACAATCGGAAAGATAATGCAGAAGCACAGGAGTGGGAGAACGTTGCCGGCGACGATAAAGGAAACAAGCCCGAGAAACACAGAAAAGGAAGAAAGGGGGAGGAGAGTGAGAGCGTCCTGGCCCACGAGCTGTTAGAGCCTTCCGGGACATCCAGAGAGTCACTCGTGCTGATGACACTAAGACAGAAACACTCGTTTTCCTCCCAAGGAGAGAGGATGCTACCCCTGTTAGGGATGAACCCATGGGAGCAGAATCTGTCACTTGCGAATCAGTATCTGAAAGAGACAAGAGAGAAAACGGTAAGCCAAACCGAAAGAGTGATGAGACCAAACGGAAAAGCGATGGCTCTGCTCAAGCCAAGAAAGAAAAAGTTTTAAGACCTTCTAAAGGACCCCAAGACAAAGAAGACGGGGAGCCTGGAAAAGCTCCTTGGTCCGAACCTCCACTTAAAAACGCCAAAGAAGACGGTGCAAAGACCGGCTCTGCAAAAGCGTCACCATCATTTCAGAAGGATGACGATGTCACCGGAACTCCCAGAAGAGCCCACTCTAAATCTGTAAAGGGACACCTCGAGACAGAGCCAGTCAAGAAGGAGAAGGTGACAAGGGACTCTACCAAAGACATCCAGCCAGAAAAGCCGGCTGGTGAGGATGAAAAGGCCAAGAAGCCTGAGAAAAGCACACTACTTGTTCACAAGGGAGGAAAAAGAAAGAGGAAGGCGGAGGAAAAGAATAGAGATGAAGATTTTGACGAGCGAAATAAAAAGAGAAAGAGGTAGACACACCATCAAAGAGGGAGCCATCGTAGGTTTGGTTTGAAGAGAATACTGATTCGAGAGAAACGTCCAGAGACCTACAAGGATGAACCCCCCACCCCCCCGACTAACAACCCCAGCAAAAGGCAGAAAGGCTCCTTAAATGCCCTTCCCTGACAATGAGATTGACAACTAACGTTTATCTACCATCACAGAGCCCTCACCTAGTAGCTGATGGAAACAGATGCAGACACCCACAGCTAAGCACTGAGCGGAACTGGAAACCAGATGCAAAGAGTGGGGGAGTGATAAGGAAACCCAGGCTACAGAAACCCAGAGAGACCGCTGACCTGAACCAGGGGGAGCTAATGGACCCCCACACTGGTCGCTGGGAACCCAGCATTGGACCGACTCTGAACCCCTGAACATGGGCCTCAGTGAGAAGGCCTGGGCAGTCTAAGGGACATCTGACAGTGCCACCAGGATGTATGCCCTGGTGCACAAAAGGACTGTGGCCTACAGCTAGGATATCTGAATCTTCTTCGAATCCCCCAAGACAGCGCCCCTTACCAGCAGGAAGTAGTTGGGAAAGAACGACGCCCAAATTCCCAAATATTGTGTATAAATGTTTGTTTTCATTTAATTGGACTTTGTTATATAAAATTAAATAAAAAAGACTCTATATGCATAAAAAAAAAAAACAAAACAAAAGGACTGTGGCAGCACGTTACCCATGTGAGGGGGCGGGGAGGGACAGGGGATACTCCCCTTAACCTAGAGGCAGGATGGGAGGGCCTAGTCCCTACTCCAGATGACCTGACAGATGTAGAGGGCCCCTCCTGGAAGGCATCACACTACATGTGGAGTGGGGGTTGGAATGGGATGAAAGGGTGGTTTGGGGGGCACGGGAAGGTGGGAGAGGGGGAGGGAGAGGAGACTGGGCTCAATATGTTAAATAAGAAAACTAAATAAATATATGAATAAAATTTCCTTGTCCAGAATATTCTCCCCAAAGTTCTTTCCTTTTCCAAATAGCAATGGTAAGATTATTTAATTCTATCAAACACTTTATAGACACTTACTCTGTATTTTCCAAATAAATGTTTAACATGGAACTGTAACCAGTGAAATGTACAATTCCAAGATGACAATAAAAACTTGTACTCAATATACAATCCACAAAGAAAAATGAAAACCAAATTATTTGAATGTAAAAAGTTTACACCGGCTCGGCAGCAGTGGCACACACACACACCTTTCTTTCCAGCACTTGGGAGGCAGAGGTACACAGATCAGAGTGAGTTTGAGAACAGCCTGGTCTACAGAGTGAGTTCCAGGAAAACGAGGACTACACAGATAAATCCTGTCTTGAAAGACCAACGAGAGAGAGGGAGTGGGGGATAGAGAGGTAGAGACATGGAGATGGACAGAGCGATACACACACACACACACAGAGAGAGACAGAAAGAGAAAACAGAGATAGACAGAGAGAGAAAGAGAGAGAGACAGAGAGAGAGAGAGAGAGCAAGGGACCCTGTAACTTTGCACTTTGTTTGGTGTGTAGGGTCCATATGGTACTTAGTTGATGGTGTCCTGCGGGAGGTAACTATGATTAGGTGAG